ATGAATTGCACAGGCTTTTTCTTTATGCCCAAGACTCCTCATATGCGACGTCATCTGATTGGTAGGGACATCTACATTACATGATTCACATCTTCTATTATGGGCTTTTGAGTCTACGATGCGATGCGTATGAACTTGTGGAACTCGCATTACCCGGGCTTTTTTTTCAGGTGGAACATCATTACTGGGAGTAGTAGATCTCTTCGTACCTCCGGATGATTCGCCGATGCGGTTAGATATCAGCTTGCAACTTTTATTTTGATGTCGACGTAAATTATCTACCCTTGTATATGTTAAACCACAATTGCACTTATACATGTTTATTATTTTTATGATTATTTCGATATTAGATGATAGAACTCCCGATAGGCTTAAAGCTAACGATATTTGTACGGATTTGGATGCGGGTCCTACTATATATATCCTCTAGAAAATTCCACCACCTCTTCTTAGCTCCTCCCTCGATATTTCAGTTGGGTGCGTCTATCTCCGGCGCAGCTACCCCTTCTTAGTCCCTTACCACAATATTTCGGTTAAGCACGACCGTCTCTAACGCAGGCTAAGCACTCTAGGCACGACGGCCGAGAGTTAAGGACGTGCTGCCAACAGTAATCACTAGGAGACGCTTAGATAACATTCACTACATTGCATACAGTAATTACTACCTAAGGTGTACTTACACTTTAATATGTATGGAGTAATGAGATGTATACCCTGTGGGTAATTGGGAGGTACTTATTATGCAATTACAATCATTACAGTATGGCGTGTAGATGGTAATTGGGTGGTACTTACTGTGCAATTGCACTTATTACAGTACATGCTGTAATTGGGAGGTACTTTCTAATTGCGCGTCTATCTCTGGCGCAGGCTACCCCTTCTTAGTCCCTTACTTCGATATTTCGGTTAAGCACGACCGTCTCTAACGCAAGCTATGCACTCTAGGCACGCCGGCTGAGAGTTAAGGACGTGCTACCAACATTAATCACTAGGAGGCACTTAGATAACATTCATTACACTACATTGCATACAGTAATTACTACCTAAGGTGTACTTACACTTTAATATGTATGAAGTAATGAGATGTATACCCTGTGGGTAATTGGGAGGTACTTATTATGCAAATACAATCATTACAGTATGGCGTGTACATGGTAATTGGGAGGTACTTACTGTGCAATTGCACTTATTACAGTACATGATGTAATTGGGTGGTACTTACTGTGCAATTGCACTTATTACAGTACATGATGTAATTGGGAGGTACTTGCTAATTGCGCGAAGGGTGGGGGGTACTTAGGATAATTACTAATTACCCAATTACCTCTCTCTGTACCTCTTTCTCATTTCCAGAACCGGCCAATTACATCTACTCAAACATTTATACTGTTATTAAAACTCCCAATAATGTCGTTCAAGTTACATATTTTTAAGATTTTTAGATTTAGTTGACAGTTTTAGGTTAGGTAAACAATGAACATTGCAACTTTAAAATTATTTAAAAAATTTAGACATTTTATATTTTATAATTATCTACTGTTAGAGTCAGCGAATTAAGATATCGCCGCCACTGGGCTCGACGGTACCACGTCTGCCCTGTTAGAGTCAGTGAAATAGGATCTCGCCGCCACTGGGGTCGACCATACTACGTCTGCCCGTTGCAGTTTCCAGGACCAGGAGAGAGCAGGAACTTGACTTTCGAGCAGCCGAACGCGAGGAAGTGATAGGCAATATGCCGTAAAAGATATTCTTTATTTTGTTCCTTAATTAATTACATTTTAAACATTGTTTACGAGATATTTAATAAAACATTATAAAACCATGTTAATACGTGTTTTGTGAAGTAGCTTTACAGGGTGTTATAGTATATAAATCATTTTAAAACAATAATTTTGAAGTTAATTCTTTTAACTTCTAACACTACAAAGTACAAAGTGAGTGTGTTTTGTTCATAATTGTATCATTTTCTGTCAAGAGATGAGGTATTATCAGCTATTAAAGCATGTAACAATATTTTATATACTGTACTATGGTTATAATGGTAAAAAATGTGATTCTCTAAATTACAAAAAAATATCACTATCTATCCTTGAAGTAAATTCTCTCAGGGGTAGTGGGTACTAAAATAACACAATGAGGGAGTACAAGTAATTCATTACCATGACATCAACGAAATTGTTTTCCAACATCATAGAAATATGTATCGACCAATATGTCCCAAAGAAGAAGAAGAACAAATATCCTGTGTGGTTTGACGCTGTATTACGCAAATTGATTGTTGAAAAGAATAAGCTACATCAAATATATTAGAGGACTAAACTCCATTAAAAGGCGCGAAGTAAAATTTCGAACCGACTGGTGTTAATGAATGTTTATTTCGAACTCCGAGCAATTAATTCCACAAAAAATAAAACATTTTTGGACAGAAGACCCTTTATATTTTCTGCGCCTTCTGCAAAATTTTCGCCAACTTCTATCGGAGCAATCCCAGACAGCACACCAAATCCTTTGGATATCTACTGAACATCCCAATATCCACTGAATGTCCAGTCCATGATGGATATCTATTTTATTTCCATGAGATGTAATTTATAGACATGCAAATGTCCATAAATTGTAGTAATTTCATCAGAAAAATATTAAAAAATTACGCCATTATGGCTAATAGTACCATTTAGATATTTCAAATAAGTTTTTTTTTTTAATGTATTCAATATCCCATGAATATCCACTAAATATATCAAAGTCTAGGCGCGAACGTAAACCTTGGTGGATATCCACTGGATGTAATTTATGGATATAATTCCTACATAAAATATACAAATTGATTTAATAATTATTAAATTATTTAAATATTACGCCATGTGATAACTAAGAAAGTATGTAGGTATAGTTTATAGAAATTTAAAATTAGTAAGTTGTATTCAATATCTCACAGATATCCACTAGATAAATAATATTGGCAATGAACGCGAGCGCAGGCGCGGATATTTCCTGCCCTCACAGGTGCCATCGGCTAGGAATGCGCAAATTTTTTAAAACATCGATGTTGAAATCAAATGATACATCGAATACAGAATATCGATACTGTAAAAAAATCGGAAAAGAAAATATCGATTTTTCTGAATATCGATGTTTGTTTTTCCATCCATCGATGTGTCTGTAAACATCGATGTTTTCCAAAAGCGTTCATTGAAGAGCAAAAAAAAGGAAAAAAGGAATTCAAACCCTTAATTGAAACATGACGCTTAACAAAAAACCAAAAAACATTGAAAAGAAAATCATCGATGTTAATTGAAAAATCGATGTTAACAAATAACATCGAATAAAAAAACTCATCGGAATAAAAAACATCGATAATCGAAACCTAAAAATCGATGTTTTTTAAACATCGATACATCGTGCGCCTCCCTGCCATCGGCACTCGGCAGCATCGGCCATTTTATAGTTTGTGTCGTGTGGGAATACCGTGAGTGAGTTTTGTTTGAACTTTGAAGTGTGGATTAAAAGAAGGTATGTTAGCTTTAAAATCTAAATTTATTAATGTAAAAGTTTGATAGAGTTTAGTTTAATAAGGCAATAGTTAAATTCACGTTATTAAGAAGGTTGTATGATAAATTTACGTTAAAATCCGTGTCCTTTTTAGGTTATTCACTAGAAATTCTTGTCGTTTTTACGATACCCCTACCTTCATATACCTACTTATTTCGTGTGATTTAGTTATTGTATTATTGTTGGTTTGGTATTTATTAATAGTTGTTACAATTAATTAGAAACAGGAATTTTTTTTCACTGGTTGAGGTAATCTTATTCCATCTGCCTTGTATTCAATTATTCAATAGCAAGCATGCTTTTCAGTGTTTCCACCAGCCAATGAAGAAATTATCGTGCTGTGCTGCCAAAATTATCGATTTTTCTTGAAAATTATGTTAAAATTTTCTTTATTTTGTTGTTTTGGAAAAAAACACGTCATGCTTATTTTAATATAATAACACAAAAACGTGAATGTAGACCAAAATTATTTGGTATCAAAATGAATATCATCTTCGTGTTCATAGGATGTTATTGATCTAATCATCTCCTGTGTAACATTAAAATTGTAGCATTCACTGTTTACATTTTGACAAGCTACTTATAGTGAATTTACAGTACCACTGTACCAATTCTTTAAAAATTAAATTATTAGAGTCACGAATTTGGGAAATTTTGTACCAGTATTTGTCAATTAATATTTAATTATTTTACCTATTCATTTAACTCTGACTGGCAATAAGTTCCACCTTTTCCGCAATTACAATTGTAGGGAACCCCATGTAGTTAGGGAATTCCCACTCCGTGAAGCAAGAGACCTTTTCCAAGTACGGTAATATTTATGTTACACATTATCATTTAACTTAATTTTACGGAAAAATTATGTTACAATTCCATAATTATGTTACAAGTGGCAACACCTGGTTTGCAGTGAGTATTTGAATTTACTCGATAGGGTTGTGTTTATGGTATAGTGAATATAAAGTTTCTTTCGGTCAAAATGAGAACAAAACCCTTTATATTTTACCATATAAGTCGTATATTGAAAATTAATAAATTAAAATTGGTATAACTTATTTTCAGCTATCTATGGTTATTTAAAGTCATATAATATGTCTTCCTTTAACTTCTAACCGCCATAACTCTGTTAATTTTAATCATAACAAAAAAAATCCAAATATCATTTTTATGTAAAACTTTATGCTTTACAATTATTATTAAGAATTTTTTATAGCACCTACCATTTTCAAATAACCCTAAAAAACACTTTGTTTCTTTTTTTTTTCATCATTTCCTTGAAAGTAACTTATATTAAAAATTAATGTATTTCCTCCAAAATGTTAATGTAAAAGTCTATTTGATTGGACTAGTAATTCGCTGTATTACTATTATATGATTATAATTAGAATCAGAAAAAAAAATAGCGCTTTTTTTCGTTCAATAAAATAAGCATATTTGTTTTACAGGACATGGCGTCTCGTAAAAGAAAATGTATTCTTGATTTATCAAAAAGACACTTGCGTCGTCTAATTCAAACTAACAAACAAATTGAAGGTTCTTTAGAATTACATGATACAGGTAGTTGTAGTTCAGTTGACATAAATGAAATAAATAGTAACAGCAATGAATATAATTATCCCTCCTATTACCCTAATGCTGAGGATATGGGTTTGCCCTCAGAGTTGCCAAAATCGGTAAATGAAGATCATAATAGTTTTTTAGAAGATGTTGCTTCCGAAGCACCTCAAGTTGATCACAATGATATTGTTAGTCATAGTGAGGATGATTTATTAGTAGAAAGTAAAAGAAAAGTTGACAATAATTTTCCATCACTAAATTTGCAGCTCAGTAACTGGGCAACAAAACACAAAATAAAACGAGGGGCTATTTCGGATTTACTTAAGATATTACTCAAACGTGATAGTGAAGCGAATATCCCTAAAGACTCTAGAACTCTTCTTAAAACACCTAGAACTACTGATATTAAAACTATACCACCAGGGCAGTACTTTCACTTTAACTTAACTTTAACTTTACTTAATGCCATTGAGGCGGATATAAAAGAATATCAATTTAAAGAAATTTCCATAAAAATTGGTATTGATGGATTACCCATATCAGACTCAAACACCAGTCAACTCTGGCCAATACTTGGTTGTATTTATCCTACTTCGAGAGTTTTTATTATTGGTGTTTACCATGGATATAGCAAACCTGCAGACTCTAATGAGTTTTTGCAGGCATTCGTAGAAGATATTAGTGTTTTAATTCAAGAGGGTTTGACATACAATGAAGTTAAATTTAATATTTCAATTTATTGCTTAATAGCAGATGCACCAGCAAAATCCTTCATAACTAAAGCTAAAGGTCATACAGGTTACTTCAGCTGTACTAAGTGTGAACAGGAGGGTACCTTTATCCAGGGACGCATGAGTTTCCCATTAACCAATTCTAAAAAAAGAACAAAAGAGTCTTTTATTATGCAAGAAAATGCTGAATATCATTTAGGTACGTCAATTTTGCTTGATATTCCTAAATTTGATATAGTCTTAGATATCCCGTTGGATTATATGCATCTCGTATGTATCGGCGTTGTTAAAAAAATTATTTCTTTATGGATTAAAGGCCCCTTACAAGTACGTTTATCGGCTACAAAGGTAAGCATTATTTCCAAAAATTTGATTCAAATGAAACCTTTTATTGTTCAAGAGTTTGCTAGAAAACCTCAGGAACTTCAGTGTTACAGTAACTGGAAGGCTACAGAACTGAGACAGTTTCTTCTTTATACAGGACCTGTAGTTTTATATCGGGTACTACCATCCACTTTATATTACCATTTTTTGACTCTACACATTGCAATGAGAATTTTCTGTGACGAAAACCACGACGTAGTTCAGCTCCAATATGCTCACGATTTGATTCTACATTTTATTCAGTCATTTATTGTTATTTATGGGGAACAGTTTGTATCCCACAATGTTCATGGGTTAATTCATATTAAAAATGATGTTGAACGTTTTGGCCACCTCGACGCTTATAGTGCTTTCCCCTTCGAAAATTTTATGAAACATCTGAAAACGTTTATTACTAAGCCTGAAAAACCATTGCAACAGATTCATAGACGGTATATGGAAATTCTACAGTTGTCAGGATACAAGTATAAGGAAGAACAGAAAGAAAATAAAATGTACCATAAGGATGGACCACTGATACCAAATATTTCATTTGGCCAGCAGTTGCGGACAAAACAGATATCAAATTGGTTTTTTTCTATAAAAAAACCAGATAATTGTTGTCACATAGGTACAATAATAATAGAAATACATAATTTTGCATATTGCAATCAGAGGGCTCAACTTATGATTATTGGAAAACAGTTTTTGAGTGTTACTGACTTTTATCAAAAACCATGTCCATCTTCAAATAATTTCTGTTTTTTTGTGGATAATTTAAGTGAGACCTTTGAAATGTGGCCTGCTAATCAAATAAGTGCTAAATGTTTAAGATTACCTCATGCCAATGGTTTTGCAGTATTTCCCCTACTTCACAAGTAACATTAGCATATTGCATATTATTTTTACAGCATAAATAAATATATTTAAGCAATGTCCAAATCTTGGTGCGTGGTTGAATTTTCCGATGGCATTCAAATTGTACCTCATTTATGGATAACTGGAGACAAATGTTACTGGCCCACCTATAATGGTACTAATGCTCAAATATTATTTAACAAGGCGGTTCTTGAGTACCTAACACCCGAGAATGACTGGCCTTTGTATGCAATGAAGATTTTGGGTATTTATGGTGTGTTAACAATATTATATATATAGGTCACATATTATAATTACTTATATATTTTCTAGAATCTTACGAACAGGCTGCGCCAAAGCTGAAGAAAGCTGAACTGCAGTCAGATATTAATTCTTCTGAGAAGGATGAGTCATCCTTAAAGAAAAGCCGTCGCGTGAGAAAGAGAATTGTTTATTCAAGTGAAGAAGACAGCATACAATCTGAAGTTGAAATTGAAGGAATTAATCCCTTTCCATCCCCGCCAAAAAAAAAAACGAATTTAAGAAGAACCAGTAGTGAAACTCAGTTATTTGATCACAGTCATTCATCCTTCAAGAAAACTCCTTTAAATTCCTGGACTTTTACTCCAAGCGAGACTCATTCAAGATCACCTTTACGAACAATAAGTAATAAAAGTTTTAATACATCAGAAATATATCTACTTGAAGAAAATGCCCAGGAGAATAAGATAACAGAATATAATGATGAGAACCACTCACAAATAATAATTTATAATACCTCCACCCCAAAATGTAAACAAGAAAAATGTTCCTGTTGTAACTTATGTAAAGGTACCTACACTTAATATATTAATTATTTATACCGGGTGTTCAAATTAAAGTGTTACAGTTAAATACCGCCGAAAATATGCATTTTAGAAAAAACAGTTTCAGACAAAAGTTTTATAGTTTTTTGGGGGAAACATTTTGGCTAAATTAATCTTTTTATAGCTGACCATAATATGGCCATATCGAGGTGAACTTTGTTTTTTTAAATGGGAATCCCATTTTTTTCTTACATATTCTTAAAGTACATAAAAAAATACGAAACTTTTAAGAGAAATATTTTTTTTATTGGACTTTTACTTCTTGAGTAACAGCTACTTGAAAATGTTGCTGCGCGAAAAAAAAATTGGCCATATTATGGTTAGATATAAATAACGATTTTAGCCAAAATTTTTTCCCTACAAAACTAAAACTTTCGTCTGAAACGTTTTTTTTTTATAAAAAGCGGTATATAGCTGTAACGCTTTAATTTAGAACACCTGGTATATCAAATGGTTTCCATACTAATAACTGGAATCATTATAGTCTAAGATCCGATATGTTTATGGGATGAATTTTTTTTTATTAAATAAAATATGTTCATAAATATAGCGCAAATGAAAAAATGCTGTCACTGCTATTTTTTATTTTCTTTCTGTATACAGATAAGGAAAATAAAGGAATCATGATAAAAGTTGCTTGTGATGTCATTCTCTTTAATTTTGCTCCTATACATGATTTCCCTAAGATGGATCGTATTCGAGATATTTGAGGAAAAGTGCAAATTTTGAAAAGATAACTCAAATACTGATAAAGAAAAAACACCAAATTTTAAATTTAAGCTTTTTTTACTTTAATAAAATAAATAGTCTTGACAGTATTTTCTTAGGCAACCCATTTGCGGTATATTTATAAACATATTTAATTTAATAAAAAAACTTTCATCCGAGTAAACAGATGGGTAAAGCCCTACCTTACTTCGGATCTTAGACTATTATTAGAATTTTTTTTTTTCAGTATCCAGGAATAAAACCGCAACTGACATCACCGAAATAAAAAATCAATTAAAATTAGTGTTACAAATATTAAGAGAGAGTCGCCCAGACATCCAAGAAAATCCAGACACTGATGACAATACCTTTAAAGAGAAGCTACCTATGAAAACATCAGCTGATGTTGATTTCTGGGAACAATTATTAAATTCTGTTGATGAGCGAAAAAAAATGGTACCTATATAGTGAATAATTTGTTTTCATTATTTTTATGTTTCTATTATTTTAGGTGAAGTATCTGGCTAAAATAGGTGGTCATGATATCAATACTATTGTAAAACATATTTTAAAAGCTCTCTTTACTGATTCTGTTGCATCAAGGTACAACTGGGAGGGAAAAAAAAATAAAAAAATGTTTTCATCACTCAACATTGCTGAATGTATTAAAGGTAAATTAGCAGTTATATAAAAATATGTAATACAAATAATATATATATATACTCGTATTTTCATTTCATTTGAATCAACTCAATAATTTTATTTGTTACAGAAGCCTCAATGCATAGTCCAAATACACCTGCCAAAGTTACAAATCAGGACATTATTGACTGTATAAAAAATTGGTTACGACATGCATCTGCCAGATTGATGAATACCAGCCAGTAAGTGAACTATATTTGTCACCATTAATATATTTGATAAATTTGTATAATATACAGGGCTGCCGAGAGCCATAGCGGGCACTGGGGCAAAACCATTGGCAAGGGCCCCTCATATAACTAGGATTGGCAGATTTGCGGAAAATAGCTGGGCATAAAAAGTCTTCAGCAAAATCAGGTACTTTTTTGGTGAAATCTAAAAAAAGGTCCTCAGTTTGTATTTTCCATAAACCAGGTCCGGCGAACTTCTAAAAAAGATCTTAGCTGCTAAAGCTGCCGGGCCCCCCTTGTGCCCGAGCCCCGGGGATTTTGCTTCCCTGTCCCCCTCTCGTCGGGCCTAATAATATATTCACAGATCCAGCCTTTTTAAATTATAACTTATATTTTGTATAAGTGACAGACTTCATTTTCGTTTTGGGCATAGCTTGATTTAAAACATAGTTTCACTTTTTGGGGAATTCTAAAACAGCGTTTTTTTTTTTTTTTTTTTTTTTTCAGGAAGAAAATTCAAGTTGCGAAGGCTATATAATGTGTGTGGATGCGTGCGTGTGTGGGTGCGGGTACTACGTTCAATCACCAGCTTATATGTTACTTAATGTTTATAGTATAGTTTACTTTTTTTATAAATATATTTAGCCTGCTTAAAATATTTGTCTTTGTTTTACCTAACGATATACTTAATACCACAAACATAAAGAATAAGATTTATTTGCAAGATGCTTAAAACTTACTTCACATATTCAATGATATTTTGGTGGTTTTTTAGGTATGGTATATATATTTAATTGTAAAAATAAAATGTTGATACTCTTTCTACTCTACATGCTATACCTATGCTGTGTAGCATCAAAAATAGTTAACACTAGAATAGTAAACTTTATATGTGTGTATATACCAAATTAAAAATACAGGGAGTTCTGATGTTATGCTACTGAAATGCTGATTTTCTTCATATGGAATGTTTTTAGATTATGCAGTACAGTATAGAAGATATTCTATGGATATCCAGCAAAATATCTAATAGGTACCTTTAGTAGAGGTTCATAAGTAACCAATGAATATATCCTATAGATGTTTAACGTATCCAGTGTACATCCATTATTTGATATATTTAAGATATCGAAAATTATATGCCTATAGGGTGTCATATTTAATGATTCATTAATTTTTTTTTTGAAAGTGGAACAATACTTATCTTTCAAAAAAAAATGAATGGAGCATTAAATACAACACCATATAGACATAATTTTCGATATCTTAAATATATCAAATAATGGATGTACACTGGATATATTAAACATCTATAGGATATATCCATTGGTTACTTATGAACCTCTACGTACCTATTAGGTATTTTGCTGGATATCCATAGAATATCTTTTATATCCTAGATATAGACGGACATTTGTATATCCATATTAGATCCACTGGATATCTATAATATCCTGTGGATATATTGGATATCCACAAAAGATATTCTGTGGATATCTCTGGGATTTCGTGTATTGTCTGGGAGATATCCCATTAGATATTTTGTTGGATATCCATAGGATATCTACTATATCCTGGACATAGACGGACATTTGGATATCCATATTAGATCCACGTGATATTTATGATATCCTGTGGATATATTGGATATCCACAAAAGATATTCTGTGGATATCTCTGGGCTTTGGTGTGTTGTCTGGGATATAGGCCCAGGGTTTCAGAAAAATAAGAAAGTTTCTGAAAAATTTCTTTTATTATGAAAAACATGTTGAAAATACGAAATACATAGCAATGCTTATAATTTATTTTACTTATTTATTATCATACGTTAACTATTCAATGTCATCAGAAACATACTCTTCATCGTCTTGCTCTATTCCTTTCCCTCCTCCACGCGTCCCTTCCCCCTGTTTTTCCAACCCCTGTGTTGCTGTCTTGACAGCTATTTCATCCTCCTCCCCTTCAACCCCTTCTGGGTCTCGATCCATCTCTAATTCTTCCGGGAAAATACCTTCATTTTTGTTGTAATTAAAACACTGTGTCGACTGACACGAACCACAGACAGGCGAGCATTTAAGTCCGGCTTTCAAACATAAACAATTCTTCTCGCACTGACAAAAAATCATCTTCAAGAGTTCCGGGTCCCTTTTACACTTAATTTCATTAATTTTTCTGGTAATTTACACTCACTTTGTAAAGCAAATCTTCTAGAAGTGCCGCTAAAAGCTCTGTATCTATTTCTATTTTATGTTTGTTTTAACCTAAAAAAAAAAGAATAACATTAGTAGAAATAATTATATGATAGATATAGCAACAAAAGACTTACCTCAACCCCAAATCTTCGATATATATTCCACTTTAACTCATTTGTGTTAAATATAGAAAAAAAAAGTAATCATTGTTTATTATTCTACTATTCGAACCCAGAATTGTGAATTTTCTTTAAATATACGAAAGAAATATATAATTGTATACCAACAAAAGCAGACGGTGAGCGCGTGGGTACACGTGGTTAGGTTATGATGGAATATCATAGATCTCAGGCGGAGTGCGTAAAAATGGGGGAGATAATTCTAACAAACAGTTAAGAACCACGCTCACATATGGGGATCAATTGATAGAAATGGAAAGGTGAGAATATCAGCTTCACTTCGGTCTGGGTATTAATGTTCAAAAAATTAACAGCGGGGAACAAGAAGTATTTAAAAAAAGTCCGGTTTTCCCCAGCGTGATCAATTTTCCCGATTTCTGGAAAATGGAGCAACTTTATTAAAAAAAAAAATCTGATGTGTCCAACACATAACTTTCCTATCTAGTTATTATATGCTTTTTCCGGTTATTTTGTACAACCTATTGCAGCACCTCCATAAATGTTTAGAGGATAAACTAAATATATACATTTTCTACATACATCTACCTCGAAACATTTTTCTATAAATATTCATTGAAAACGAAAATTGAAATTTAGAACTTTTCCTCCAATTTTTCCATTACGATCCATTTTAGAAAAATCATGTATAAACAAAAATTATAGAGATCGATATCTCAAACAACTTTTAGTTCAACAATTTTCTTAAAAATCAGAATTTTGTACATTTTGTCAAATTTCTCGAATACAGGAAAATTTGACATTAGGCAAAATTTATAGATAATAATATTAGAAGTAACTTTTATTTGAACAATTTTCTTCTCCAAACATAAATACCAGATATATTCCATAAAATATAAAAACGGCCTCCTATAAAGAACTTCCCCAGATGTTCCGACTTTGTCCAAAATCCAATCATTTTACGTCAGGCCGAAATAAAAGTTAAGTTTAAAATTTAATGTTTTCTTCTTTATCCGTTTTTGAGTTTTCTTCTAAAATTCTAAATTTACACATTTTCTCAAATATCTCGAATACGGTCCATTTTAGAGAAATTATGTGTGGAATAAAAATTGTAGAAAATTACATTACAAACAACTTTTATTTAAACAATTTTTATAAAAAATGATTTTTTTTACATTTTATCAAATTTCTCGAATACGGACCATTTTAGGAAAATTTTGCAAAGGACAAAAAATATTGATAATAATATTGTAAGTAACTTTTATTTAAAGAATTTTCTTCTCCAAACGTAAATAACAGATATATTCCATAAAATATAAAAACGGCCTCCCATAAAGTACCCCCCAGATGTTCCGACTTTGTCCAAAATCTAATAATTTCACATCAGGCCGAAATAAAACTTAACTTTAAAATTTAATGTTTTTTTCTTTATCCGTTTTTGAGTTTTCTTCAAAATTTACACATTTTCTCAAATATCTCGAATACGGTCCATTTTAGAGAAATTATGTATGGAATAAAAATTATAGAGAATTATATTACAAACAACTTTTATTTGAACAATTTTTATAAAAAATATTTTTTTTTACATTTTGTCAAAATTCTCGAATACGGACCATTTTAGGAAAATTTTGTATAAAACAAAAATTATAGATAATAATATTTGAAGTAACTTTTATTTGAAGAATTTTCTTCTCCAAACGTAACTAACAGATATATTTCATAAAATATAAAAATGACCACCCATAAAGTACCCCCCCAGATGTTCCGACTCTGCCCAAAATCTAATCAGTTCATTGGACGCCAGAATAAAGCTTAAGTTTAAAATTTGGTGTTTTTCTTTGTATTGAATCATGAGTTATGGTGGATACAGACACACACAAACACACACACAGACACATAGACACACACACAGACATCATCCCGAAAATAGTCAAAACGGATTTAGGGGACCCCAAAACGTAAAAATCCGTCGAAAACTGGAGGTCGAAAAAAATCATGATTCCTATACTTTCCTTATCTGTATACAGATAGGAAAGTAAAAATACATTCAAAAAGTAGACACTCTAAGCTTTAAAATGGTGTGCATTGAATAACAATATAATGAAATATGAGTTTTTAATTACTGCTTGTTTCAAAGATTTCTAGAACTCCGAAAATGTATGAAAAATGCAAATAATCAAATCAATTTTGTTTTAAAACGCCAGGAAGATACTGGAAAAAAATTTCTGAGATCATTCGAGACATCTCAAGATCCCATTTAAAACAAAAATGGAATAAAAAACTATTAAAAAAAAAAAAATATGAATGAATTACTATAAAGTGGTCCAAAATAGTAGGAAAAGGCAACTTTGACCCCTTTTTCAATGTTCTTGACAGAAAATAATGGGCTTCAAGGAACATGGATCGATACCTATGGGTTTTCCCATTGTAATGAACTTTGAATCATCGAAAAATATCAATTTTTGACAGAGATCTGAAACAATTTGTCCACCCGTTTACAAGCTAATCAGCATTGCTAGAGATAAAGCAGGGGCTGAATGAGGGACTTTTGATTGCGGTTATCTCGAAACCTGTCGAATTCCCGACAAAAATGATAGGGACCATTTTTGTAGATAAGATCTTTCTTTTTTATCTAAACAAAAATTCTCTAATTTGCCTATTGTGAAAGATATTGGCGGGAAGCCAGTTTTAGAGTCCATTTTGGACCCTTTCCGACGCAGCAGAGTTGGTAAAAGTTTTCGACCTTGGAAGCGACCGCCGAGACCTAAGAGTTGAGCCACAACATAAATCTGGACCGACTTAATGACAGGTTGGTCCCTTCAGTTACTGGACTATAAAGGACTGAAACAATATAATGAGTTGCCTGAATGTGTAAAAAACTGTGATAATCTAAAAAAATTTAAACAAGCCTGTATCGACTATATTAAGAGTTCTATTGCATTGTAGGTCGACTTTTTGTTTTTTGTTGGTATATGTTTAAATATTCTATGTATTTTGTTCCTTCATGCTAATACATACTACATGCTAGTAAATAAAGATTACTATTATTATTATTAAACTTTGGCTTGGTTGTGAAAGTCAAATAGGTACCTATATAACTTACTCTTCTGGCAGATAGGGCACGAGTACTTCCTCTTTTTCTTTAAAATACCTTTAGAGGTATTTTCAAACGATTTGCTACTATACTGATGTCCGAAAGCCACAGTGCTTTCTATTTTCAAAGTCAGCAGTTCACACACTTTACTCTCAATTTTTTGTTGTATATATTCATTACATTCTTGATTGATATCACTGATATCTGTGTCGTTAACATCGCTAGTGCCCTCAAGTTCTTGTTTAATAATTATAGGAAACTTTTGCTCGTTTTCGGAAACCCTATCTTCGAGATGACAATATTTGCTTTGCTCTAGTTCGCTGAAAACATTAACTGGTTCGGTTTTAATAAACCCATCAGTAGTATCGAAGGGGCCTTTTTCTTGTTTTACATCCATTATTCTAACAATTTAATAATGAAAATTATCAGATTATTCCAATATTTACAAAACTATTTCAAAACCAAAACAAACCACAAAACATGATACTGTCAGGTGTCAGTTAACATATGACAGATATCAATGTTTGTTCGTCCCGCTGATGTAGGAATGAACTACACCAACGGACGGACACTGAACCTTTCGTTTGGCCCGGTGTAAAACCATGGAGGTAAAACCCACTATACCTTCCTGTCGGCGATGTGGTGTCTGTCTAATGGTGGATATTTTCTCCACCAGCTATTAAGCAGGAATGAATTACACTCGACATGTTTGTGTATAAGGAATAAAGAGGAAGTAAATTAGGTAAATAAGGTGGTGTAACTGGTGTAATTGACACTGGTGGACACTGCACCAACAGCGAACGAAAGAACCTCTAGTATCGTATGTCAAAAATGTATATTTATTTGTCATTTGTCACGTCACCTTACAAAAGTAGTTGTCAAAAGTTCAAAGTTGTGTATTGCTTAAAATGGCGTAAAGAATTGTTTTGAATAAAATTATTTGGGTGTGGTTAAATTACAAATCAACATTAACGAAAGGACATTCTATACATTAATTACAATAAAATTGGAAAAGTAGATTTTCTGGTCCTTAAAATACAAAACTGGGAAAATTTATTTCAGTGAGGTTAACTTCTACAAAATTGTAAAAATGAAAATGATTATATCTAAGATTAAAAGTGATATTTTTCAAAAATAATAGAAATGTCACGTTTGGCTGATTATTTTGTGGTAGTAGGATATGACCATGAAAAAGAAAGTTAGTATGAATTCAATATTAAAAATGAAGATTTTAATATGTATTTGTTTTTAGGAAGTGGTATCAGTAATGGTATGATATTACAAAGATTTCCTGAAAAAGACTGGCCTGACACTCCCTTCATTGAAGGAATAGAATGGGTAAGAATAATATATTTTGAATAAACAAATTTTTATGCATATTTGTTAGTTTTGCCAACCACAGGGATGGACATTATCTTCAGAAAAACAAGAGCCAAGATTTTTTGTGTCTGTACTTACAGACATCGATGCAAACAGGCATTACTGTGCTTGCTTATGCTTCAATGAAACCGTTTCAATAACACCAAGCAAGCCTGTTGATGAGGTACGTAATTAATTAAAGTATTAGTATTGTAGCCTAATTAAATTATCTTAGGAAGAAGATGCAGTTGATGGGGAAGCTCCCTTGGTTAGAGTCATTCCAGCTATATCCCACCATAGCATTATGTATGCACCAAAATGTCTGGTGTTGGTTTCAAGATTGGATTACATAGAGACGTTTAGGGTAAGTTCTTAAAATATATATTTTTTACCTAAATGGTTAAAACATTTTATTATGAAATGATTTTCGTTCTAGTAACATCATTGTACTAACTATTAAACTGATATCTTTAATTGCCGTTAGATATTTTTTTAATCAAGAACAATAAAATGTCATTGATATTGATAAAGAAATTATTTAAATTTATTGCTTTGTATCATTGTCTTTTTTAATCATATTAACATTTCAATGGCTTTTGTATAACAATAGTGCCATTAACAATTAATTATAATATCTACTTATTAAGGCTGCAGTTTCACTCTATTTTAGCTATAACAAGCAAGGGTTCACCATTTCCAATTACGTTTAAGTTCTGCTAAATGTATTAAAATAAATCTCCTACCAGCTTAAAATCATAAAAAGTGATTTTAAAAACCAGAGCTAAAAGTAGCAGATTTCAATCTACATATTTTTCTAAGTAGCTCTCCACAATATTTCTAAATTTGATTATTTTTCAAATCTTGCAAGGATTATTAAAAAAAATATTTTCAAACAATTCTCTATAATTTCTTTATCAACTTTCACACAATATGACTTCTGTATGTTTGATAATTAATACAGAAAGTATGATTTTAATTTACAAATTTTGGCACAATTTTTAAAATTGGTGCATTAATTATGTTGTCATTTTAACACAGTTCACCAGAAATGTGACATGCAGGGCTGAGTTAACATATGCATTGGAACTTGAGCTAAAACTAAGTCTAGTGTAAATTATTAATGGCTGACCTTTCAGAAATACAAACATATTTTAAAATAATGGTTCACCAATTAGAAATGTCAAAATATTTATTTATTTATACATTGTTCAACAGGTTAAACCCAATTACAGAACAGGAGTACATTTGGAAGAAAACAGTTTAATATAAAGCATATAGATAATTAAGTAATCTAAAATTACAAATATTCTAATTTGTCATTCAAATCGACATTCAGATAATCTTCTGCATATGATAATTTGACGTTGCTGTTCTGTATATTTTCACAAATGTTTTAAAGATATTTATTGTGTGAAAGAATTGGTTTTATGCAGTTTTAAGGCTCAAGTAATTTTGTTTTTCAGTTGAAAAGGTTTCTCTCTGAATGTTTCTTCAAAAGGTTGAATTAGTTTTGAAAAACGTTCTCAACCCTGCATTATATTTCATAGGGGTGCTATGAAGACTAAAATTAAGCATTGTGATATATGAAATGCCTGCTTACCTCGCCCCCGAGCCTCTACCCTCGCCGCTTGACTATATCTGTACCTTTACATGTATACACTTTTTAATAACCAATTCCCTTTCTTCAACTACTTCAGAAAAATGTACCAGTGTTGTTTTACATGGAAATTAAATTTCTATATAAAAGTACTTGAACTATTATTCGTATGAGACTTGTAAATGAAAGCCAAAAATGAAATATTTATATAATGTCTAACGGGTATATATTCTGAAATTGTTTTTATAGCAGTTTTCAATGTTTTTTTTTAATGTTAAATTTTCAAAATTTCATTATTTTTTCCGTTTTCCACATTTTTTTACTGTTTAATATATTCAGGAACTAGTTTAATACCATTAGAATATTATAAAAGCAAATCTGCATAGATTTATTGCCTGGAAAGTCCTTATATATAAAAAAATCTCCACTACTTATCTATTTGCTTATGCTGCCCTAAACCGGATTTACTGATGAAGTATTCCTGCTCATGACTTGCAACCTTATCTATTCACACTGTATATACCTTTTTTTTAGAACTGCTTGGGGATCATCTACAGTGTCTACATAGAAAGTATGCCAGTACCGCTCGAAACTTTAGTAGGAAACATATTAGGATGTATCCAGGTACCCCCGCCAGGTGGCCCTCAAGTTCGTTTCAGCATAGGAGCAGGTGATCGCCAAGCTTTACAACCCTCCCTATCTCCGTCTCTTCCCGTAACGCACACCTCTGTCAGCTTATTGTTCCATCAATTAGGCATCAGAAATGTGATCAAGCTGTTTTGTGCTATAATGACTGAACACAAGATATTGTTCCATTCGAAGAGCTACAATAGACTGACAGAGGGATGTAGAGCCTTGACGGCGCTAATGTATCCGTTTCGGTACACGCATGTGTACATTCCGCTGTTGCCAGCGCCGCTCGTTGAAGTGCTGTCCACACCCACGCCGTTCATTATGGGAGTCCATTCCTCTTTGAAGTCAGAAGTTGCTGAATTGGTAATGTTTATTTTATTTATCTATTTAAATGGGATCAACCCCATTACAAAGCAAAACACATATAAATGATACAAATATTCGTAAATTAAAAAATACAAGTAAGAAGAAGAAAAAGTTAAAATTATAATGAAATAAAAGTCAAATAAGTTTTAGATTAAGAGATGCCTTTTAAGTAGTTTATTTTATCAATAAAATCTTACATTGAGTTTGTGTCCCATTAGAAGGGAGGGGTTTTGGCATCGGATTGACATTTGCCCACATACTTTGATTACTATACGGTGCAAGAGAGACGTCCGACACGCCCAACATAGGGCGCGGCCATTTTGATGCAATTACTACTAGGTTAGGTAACACATATTTTTCCATAAATGGTAGGTAGCCTACATCTTGATATTTTGAGATTTTAAATGACATCAGGATTCTGCGCAGTTGATTATTTCGACCGCCAAATTATAAACTGCACAGAATCCTGGTGTCAGTGACTGGTTTCTGATAGTTGTTGGAACAGACCTATTACTTTTATTGTAATAGCAACACAGTGCTTCACACAGAACAATGAATAAAAATCTGATGTGTCCAACACATGACTTTCCTATCTAGTTATTACAGGCTTTTTCCGGTTATTTTGTACAACCTATTGCAGCACCTCCATAAATGTTTAGAGGATAAAATAAATATATACATTTTCCACATACATCTACCTCAAAACATTTTTCTATAGATGTTCATTGAAAATGAAAATACTGAAAAATTTAAATTTAGCACTTTTCCCACAATTTTTCCATTACGGTCCATTTTAGAAAAATCATGTATAAACAAAAATTATAGAGATCGATATCGCAATCAACTTTTATTTTAACAATTTTCATAAAAATCAGAATTTTGCACATTTTGTCAAATTTCTGGAATACGGACTATTTCAGGAAATTTTGACATAGAACAAAAATTATAGATAATATAAGAAATAACTTTTATTTGAACAATTTTTTTCTCCAAACATAAATAACAGATATATTCTATAAAATATGAAAACGGCCCCTATAAAGTACCCCCCCAGATGTTCCGACTTTGTCCAAAATCTAATCATTTCACGTCAGGCCGAAATAAAACTTAAGTTTAAAATTTAATGTTTTTTTCTTTATCCGTTTTTGAGTTTTCTTCAAATTTCAAAATTTACACATTTTCTCAAATATCTCGAATACGGTCCATTTTATAGAAATTATGTATAGGATAAAAATTATAGAGAATTATATTACAAACAACTTTTTTTTGAACAATTTTTATAAAAAAATATTTTTTTACATTTTGTCAAATTTCTCGAATACGGACCATTTTAGGAAAATTATAGATAATAATATAAGAAGTAACTTTTATTTAAAGAATTTTCTTCCCCAAACGTAAATAACAGATATATTCCATAAAATATAAAAATGACCACCTACAAAGTACCTCCCCAGATGTTCCGACTCTGCCCAAAATCTAATCAGCTCATTGGACGCTGGAACAAAGCTTAAGTTTAAAATTTGATGGTTTTCTGTGTATCGGTTCATGAGTTATGCGACTCACAGACACACATACAGACACACACACACACACAGACATCATCGCGAAAATATTCAAAACGGATTCAGGGGACCTCAAAACGTAAAAATCCGTCGAAAACTCGAGGTCGAAAAAAATCATGATTCCTATACTTTCCTTATATCTGTATAAAGATAGGAAAGTAAAAATGACAACAATTTACCTATCGGTAAAATTGCATATATACAGTACCAACTTAAAATATTAAATAAGGCATTTTATAGAGATTCTAACACTTATAAAAATAATATAATGTAGTCATGACATGAATGAGGATAAATTGTAAGTTTCTGAAAAGTTTCAGATCTCAAAATGACTTAATAAAGGAATAATTTAATTTTAACAGCAGATTTTCAAGTCAATAATTATGAGAAATGTTTTGCACAAAATGGTTAGTAAATTGTAAAGTAAAGTAGGATCAAGATTTTAAATAATTTTAAGTGCAATTTAAAAGAAAACCGCGAGTGTTTTTTAATACAAAAGTGAATAATAAAAGAAATTAAATCATGCACAATTAAATAAAAAGTGATCCAGGTATATGGTTTTGACAACCAAAATAATAAATTTTTTTAACAAAGTTGGCTCTGAAATAACCGTTTATAAAAAGCTTACTTTAGAAAACTTTATTTACAATTAAAAATTTATGTACATGTAATATAATAAATATTGCATTCACCACACTACCGAACCTGAGCGGCGGGTTTTTCACGCGAGCCCTCCGGACTATGGAGGATAGAGTATATCCGCCATTTACAATATTTATTTACGACTAAATATTTCTGGTAAACGTAGCAGTCCTTACTCCTTACCTGAGCGGTATTATTAGGGGATTTTGGGTTTTTTTTTTTTGGAATCAGGAATGGAATGTTATTTAAAGGATTTGTCGTGTTTTTGTTCTGGTTATTGTCGCCTGAAAAAACTAGAAAAAACAGGGTTGTCCTTGTGTGTGCGTTTGTTGATTAAGTCTATGTCTGTTTAGTACAACTCACTGGCTGAGTGATCGATAGACCTTCCATCGCGGCAATTTTCGCAAAAATCGCGGTTGTTGCCTCGATGGCTAGGGATGTTGCGATACCAGTAAAGTATCGATACCCTTAGATAAAAGAAACCGAAGATGTAACATTGCACACTGCGCATGTTGTCTATTTTAACCTCAAGTAACCCACCAATTGAAAATCATTGTTCGCACGACGTTACCCGAATTGCTCCGATTTTTAATTCAACGCTCACCTCTGCCTGAGTTCAATCACAATTGACAGCTGTTTTTTGATATATTTGTTGGTGTTTTAGCAATTTAAAGTGTTCTAGTTATTCAATTTTAAGTTCAAAATGCCATGTATCTTGAAAAATTGTATATACTTATAATACAATGAAAGATAAAAAATATATTCGTTTTCAGCGGTAAATATTTATTAACGTTTTGACATAAAGCGCCATGATCCTTTGGGCTGAATACTTCAGATCCGCATTAAGGGGTTTCAATAAATATTAAGCATCAAATACATATTTCAGAAAACAGATTTCATATTACATAAATATACAAAAGGGGAAAAAGTTGGACATTTAATTTAAATAAGAAGTAAATAGGCATTGTTGCTAACGAAATTTTGTTTTTAAAAAGTAGTTTATAAGAACATTTACTAAAGGTGGTTTTTAGCCCTTTTTGGTAGATAAATAAGACGTAAAGAAGCATAGTTGCTAGCAAAATTTTATTTTTATAATGTATTTTTATAAGAATAGATAAAATACAGAATGACCTACTTAAAATTTCAAGGTTCATCTTATTTGCGGTCAAATCGAAAGTGACATTTGAATCTAAAATCTTAAAACAAAGTAAAACGCACAATATGATCTAGTATAAGCAAAAAAAATACTAAAGTTACGGGAATTAGTCACATTGTTAATAAAATGTTACATTATAAACCTTTAAACAACTCAAACGAAGTTTTCGTTTACTGAATCCAAATTCTAGCAATATATATTATGCAATCGAATGCGGTTTCATAGATAATGGGATCAAAAAAAGCAAGCGACCGATAGGGGTTACAAAAATAATCGATTTATCGATTATTCTGATATTTTTTTATGAAAATCGATTTATCCGTTATTTTTAATAAATAATTTGTTTTTTTAAGATAATGTAATAATCGATTTTAAAGGAAATACAATAAGAAAGTAGATTTATTCAAAATAATGGATTGATTGAAAATAAACGATAATTCTTTTATTATTTTTTGTAAACTGATTTATCAGTTAATTGGCTTTTTAATTAATCGATTATACGACAAAAAATAGATTGTTTGAATAATCGATCGATCGAAAATAATCGATTATTTTCAATGATCAATAATTTATTTCGATAATCACCCACCCCTAGCGACCAAATGACTTTTAATAGGTTTAAATTTTAAAATGTTATCTAGTTTCAGACATATGCATTTCTAGAGTTTTATGTGTCTCATCCTCTATATTAATTAATATTCCTAAAGAAAGAAGCTGAGGTTACAATATAAAACAGCATTTTCTCATTTTGACTAATTTTTAATATTCTGTAATAGCCGTAGAAAAAATATAATGTTCAACTCACAAGGTTTGATTTGCAGTATTTGCCAGCGCACATGTTTTTTTTTTATAATACTCGTAGACAATGAGTACCATTTTTTGCTCTATTAACAATATCGTATTTCAACATTTTACTGTAGTCTCTTGCTAAAAAGTCCGTAGTAAATAAACGCTAACGAAATATTCTATAAATGGTCTTCTCTTTACATAAAATGTCGTGGCATCTGTTTGATATTAAAAAATCACGTTAATTTTATTTCATAATACAAAATTTCATTAAACAGTTCATTATGATGCTAATAAACAAAGTCCGGCCCCTGTCACAAAGTTCGGGTCTCTCCCCAGTTCCCCCACTCCGTTAACCTTTCTTTAGAAATTGGCAACATTTGCGCAGGTTAAACACCGGTGTATGTTATATCTCTGGTCTCTTTTATCTAAGGTTCTACCCAATTAAAAAAAAAACTATTGAAAAAATCAACATCCTACCTGTACCTGTAGTTAAGGACATTTTGGAGATGGTGACTGTCCAGCTATTATTACCAAGGAATTCCTCCAAAGTCCAAAATCCTTTCATGAAATTTCTTCGAAAAACATTTATTGGAAAATAAATGGTTTATTTTTCCATAAACAAATAATGGTAATTTGTTTGTAACTATTCCTACTGGAACTCGAAGACGACATACTAAGAGGTCTAAAATAAAAATAAAACGAAAGCACAGAACTTGACGATGAACCAGAACTGAATCAACGAAATAGTACTCTATGAATGTTTTTATGAAAGTTCGGTAAATTTTTAAATACACTTTTATTCCCTATTTGAAACTTTAATGTTTACTTAATTTTAATTCTACCTTCTATCATTCATAAGCAAATTTCCCAAACACGAATTCACTTTATACTAATACATTTCAAACGTGAAATCAACTTTAAGATATTTATAATAAGTATCGTTTGTGAAATATACTTAAAATCGTTTTTGTTTAATTTATCTAACCTAGATCGTTGGCGATTCAAAGGGATTTGTAATATTTTCTTCTCAATTATCCTATCTCTACCTTTGAACCGCGAACAGTTACATAACCTTGATTTTTTTTTTAATTACATTTCTCTAATATTTTAACGAGGACACTTACCTGCGTTCGAATAAGTTGTTATTTTTTTTACAAAGATTTCCTTCAACAAAATAAAGTTCTTGTCGTTTCTAAACTAGAATATTTTCTTTAATTTCATTAAACAAACATAACTATATCACACAAAATACCATGTTGCATTGCGGGTAATCGTAATCAACACAATAGACGACAAACGAGGCTTCAGAATCCACCGCCGACGAGTTAGGCAGTCTCATACTCTGAAGAAAACAGGTCCGGCTGCAGCAGAGTTGATGGCAACGAATTTTAAATAATTTATTTTTTTAATATAGCTAGTCGGAGCAGAGGAATTATTGTCCAGAGACGGAGACGAGCTGTGGTGGCGCCCAGGGTTTATTTTTTTATGACTATATTGATAAATAAAGAAATTTAAAGTGTTTTAATCATTACAACCAATATAGTGTGTATATTTTTTAAGGCAAGTAAGTTCTGCTAAAGTTTAACTGTATAACTATTTCATAAAACAGTTTTCATCAAATATTAATTTTTTTTCCTCGAAATAAGATCATTTAAAAAAAAAATAAAATTATAAAAGACAGAGCCGTCTCTGCGCGACAATATATATCAATGAATGGTTTTTTTTTTAAGTTTCCTAAAAAGGTTTTTAATCTTCGTGATGTATCTATACAGAACACAGTGAGCTGATGCAGTCCCTATAGTTATATTATTTAAATGTTTATATATAATTGACAAATAATAATAATAATCTTTATTTTGAGGAACAATCATAATACATATAAGTAAGACAATTCTTAAACAAAACAGTGTCTAGGAAAATATATTAATAATTGTATATGGTTCTAAATTAATTAATAATTCATGTACTTCCCTTTTAAATACTTTAACATTTGCTAATTTTTTTATTGCATCAGGCAGTTTATTGTACAACTTTACACAGCTGTACCCTGCTCCATGTTCTGTAGCTGTCAGCCTATGTATTGGATATACTAGGTTTATATTTATCAATATAGTCTAAGATCCGAAGTAAGGTCGACCTTCACCCATCTGTTTAATGGATGAAAGTTTCTTTTTATTCCATAAAATACATTTATAAATATACCGAAAATGGGTTGCCTAAGAAAATACGGTCCAGAGTATTTTTTTCTTCAAGAAAAAAAAAACGAGTATTCCCCAGATGCTTCAACTATGCCCAAACTTTAATCAGCTCACCGCAGGATGGATTAAAGCTTAAATTTAAAATTTGGTGTTTTTCTCTTGGTCCGTTTTTGAGTTGTCTTTAAAATTCGAAATTTGCACTTTTCCTCAAATATCTCGAATTAGGTCCATTTTAGGAAAATCATGTATAGGAACAAAATAAATAGCTAATGATTTTTATACTTTTCTTATCTGTACACAGAAAGGAAAGTAAAAAATGGGCGTATTTTCTTAGACAACCCATTTGCAGTATATTTAAAAACATATTTTATTTAATAAAAAATAAGTTTTTTCCATTAAACAGATGGGTGAAGGTCGACCCTACTTACGGATCCTGGACTAATATATAAGCATTTGTTGGTTCAAAATTCGAAAATAAACCTCTATTTTTAAATAAAAAATTAAGCATTTCTGGATGCATATGCCTATCACAGTTAAGATTTTATTTTCTCTAAATTTACCTCTACACGACTTTCTCATATTCAAACTGAGCATAATCCGCATTATTCTTTTTTGCACTAAAAAACCCATTCAATTGAATTGCTCCCCATAGAATATTTTCCCATATCTAATTCTGGATTCAAAATTTGCAAAGTATACCAATAAACATTATTATTATTATTAGATAGCTACTTTATTTTGAAAATTAAATATTTTGAGTTTGACGTTAATTTTAGTAATTACCAAATTAAGTATGCATATTTTTGTTTTTTTTTTACTTGAAAATATGTGTATATCAGTCACAAATAGTTTTTTTTTATATGTCAAATGTGTTCCCACTCCTGTACTTTTACAAATTAGTCAAGAAATAAAATATATTTAAAAAAATTAAAGGTCTATAGTCAGCGTGTCATAATTCATTGAACATAGATGTAATTCCTCCTTAAAGTGACTATGGATCAATAATTTAATGTTTATTAAGAAAAGAAAAAATATACAATAAATTATTTTTAACAATTCAATATAGACTTTATTAACTGGAGTAGGTACCACACAATTAGACTGATAAAACCTTGTACATTTAAACAATAGAAGAAAAAAAAGATTTCTAGTAATATATGCAGATTATGATTGTGTACCTAGGAATGTGAAATTAGATTTGAATTGTGTTTATTTTCAAATAAATCAATTATGTCTTCCAAAACTGCCTGATTATTGAGAGTCAAGATTAGTTTTTTGAAAAATGTACTTAGGATTGAGTAGGGTTTCATTAAAAAACATGATATTTTGGTAAAGTACTAGTAAAATGTCTTTAATTTATGAATATTCAACATTGATCCTAAGAAGATGAAGAATAGCTAGATTATTTCTTAATCTTATCAGTTTACAACTTATTTGCACATTACAAAACTAGGTACTAAAAACATAATATAATGATGGTTGTTCTTGTTCAAATATTTCTTGAAATTTGGCTCAATTTAAAAAGTTGTTCCAGTACTTGATGTTTGATTCTGAAATAAAAAAATATTTTTATAACCAAAATAAAACTTTACGATTTAAATGCACTTGTAACAAACTAGTTTAAGCACTATTTGTTACATCTTTTAATAAACACACCTTTATCATCTAGTCCTGTCTTAAATAAAAAATACTTTATAAAATAAAATACATTAAAATATTTGTAAAATAGTTAAATGAAACAGTCACAGATAAATTACAAATTTATAGTTTTTTAAGTAAATCTAGGTCACGGGTGAGGAATAATCAAATAAAAATGTACGTACCTTCAAATAATTTCACATATCATTTGATTAACTCCAATTATATACCATTATTTCACACTCGCATGGTAAATGAATGGCTGCTTCTATAGCAATCGACGGTCTAGCTATGGTTTTTTTAGTCCGTTGACTCAATATTGTAAAAAGGATGTCGACATACGGTGGCTCTAAAAGACGTTTTTGTTACTTTTATGATTCCTGTGTATGTCTAACGTACAAAATCAATGAACCTGGATCAGTGATACTTTTGCTTTTCAGAAATTTCCATTTATCTGAAATTGTTACAGGGTTTACTGTATCAAATAAAAAAATTAAATAGTATAGGTAATTTTCTAACTGTTCCTGATATACTATTTGGCAGAGCTATTTAGCAGGGCTATTTTCTCAGCTGAGGACTACCTCTACTTTCAGGTGTGTAGATGAGCCACAGGTACTAAACCTGAAATAAATAAAAACAATTATTATAATATAAATGTTCCGAAAAGTAAACAATATTACTTACATGTTTATTTATATTATTTTGTTTGATTTTAATACTGCTCCCATCTATTGAAGTAAATGCTTCAATTTTCTTGGTTTTTGCCTTCCACAAAGAATTGGTTCATGACTGATAACATACCTTTTTACATAAGAGCAATAAGCATTTTCCTCAAAATGCTGAGAAGAGACATAACGAAGTTTAGCTAAAAATAACTTCTAAACAATTTTATTAATGGTTTGTAACCACTGTTCATGTTAAGTGCACGAGATTCGTAGGCGACCTGAAAAATAAAAAGCTTAGAATACAACAATAGGAACATAAATAAAGTAGTTACTGTTACTTACAAATGGAAAGATTTAACATAAAATCACCAAGTAAAGAAAAGGTTTTCAAGATATTCATTATTTGTTAATGGTTTTGTAAAGTGTCGGTTCATAAATAATATCTTTGGGGACTGACTTTGGGTAAATATTAAAACATAACCACTAAAACTATTGCGCCAAGATGTAGGCAGCACGTAATAAGTGTTCAAAATGGCGGAGTTTTCTACCTCGCGCAGTGGGACCATTCTCCGTATAGTAAGAAAAAAATCGAAGTATGGGCATTTGTCACAGATGGTTATAATGAAATAATTTTTTTTATTCATAAGTAACAAATGATTATTCCAAAATCGTAATGCTTAAATATCAAATTTAATACTGTTTATGAATTTATTTATTTTTTATTTATTTACAAATCTAAAAGGCTATTATTTTATTTTTATGCACGTGAGTGAACACTTGTCTATCCATTATCCAATAATATATAAATACGCAATTACAAAACATAAAATAAATAGTTCAAGAATGAAAAAGTGTGAATCAATAAATACTCTCATATCGTACTAAATTGTGTACTAAGGCTGCTTTTACGTTAATCCAATTTTAACTCTCTGTTTTCGATACTTAAGATAACTTTCAATCCATTTTAAAAGACATATTCCAATCTCCTTAAGTTTCTAAATCAAAAAATCAGTATAACTTGATATATATTTTCCAACAACTCGACATTTTTCTTTCATGAATAAGTAAGTTGGTAACTGTAGATTTGCCTTTACAGAAACCATATTGATTATCTACAATGATTTCTTTAAACATAAAATTAAGATGATCATATACTATCAAATAGTTTGAATGGAGGACTGGTTGAATTGTTCTTATGTTTTTATACAGATGGATGTGATCGTCGCCGACTTGGATGGAGGCTCAATCACCATTCCAGATGGCATATCCTTGCCTCTCCTCCCGGAACCCTTACTCAGCAATACTCAAGAAGCTCTGAGTCTCATCCTTCAACCGGAGCTCTCTTTCGCGGATCATGCGTTTCCACCTCTAGCAGTTCGCGCCCCTCAATCCATAATGCTAGATAAAGAAATCCGCGCAGTCTTCATGCGAACTTTTGCTCAACTACTCCAAGGGTATCGCAGCTGCCTGACGCTCATTCGCATACATCCTAAACCGGTCATAACGTTTCATAAGGCCGCCTTTTTAGGAGAAAGAAATCTGAAAGACTGTGACTTTACGACGCGAGTATTGGATTGTATGTTTTTTACTAGTTTTGTTTCGGAACGTGGCCCTCCTTGGAGACCGTGCGATGTTTGGGATGAGCTCTACAGCAGTCTTAGCGAATTATTGAAGACGGAATTGCAAGATCCTCGGTTGGTTTTGGTACATATACAGGAATTAGCAACGCAACTTTATACCAATGAGATTCCTAACCCTCAGTCATACGCCCAGAAGATTCTGGTGCCGCCCGAAGGTGCTTTTGCTAGGATACATCAACCTGCATTACCGGTGATTCACAGTGAAAAGGTGCAGGCGATTATCGAAGAGGGGTTATCGAAAAATAATCTCAAGTCGAGGTAAGTTATATTTGGTTTTGTAATAAGTAGCTATATCAATTTTTTTGCTGCATTTTTACACGAGGTTTGATTAAAAAGTTTCCGAAATTTTCCATTTTAGTCTTGAGAGCTAAAAATTTGTGTTCAACACATTACTCAAATTGACCGCTGGCTCTGATTCTATTACTTGCGAATTCCTGAGCATTTTTTTTATTGATATCATGATGATTATTTTTCTGCATATTTTTTTATCGCTTTTTTATTTGTTTCTAGTTTTTATTTCCCAAATCGTTTTTGTTTATTTTCATACGAGGGCGGGTCAATAAGTCCGTGACTTTTTGAATTTCCCGCCTCTTAATTGAAATGGCAACAATGCTCCCGTCAACACTCATCTGTCTGTTGACTCTTGCTGCGACATTTAGTTTGTTATTGACAGCCGTTAATATCAGACTACCTCGTTGACTGAGAAGAAAATGGAAAAAAGTGAATTTCGTGTGCTCATAAAGCATTATTTTTTGCGGAAAAAATCCATTACGCAAACCAAGGCTAAGCTTGATAAATATTATGGGGACTCTGCACCATCCATTTTCATGTTAAAAAAGTGGTTTACTGAATTCCGATGTGGCCGTACAAGCACGGAAGATGCCGAACGTTCTGGACGCCCTGTTGAGGTCTCCACATCGGAAACAATAGACCTTTTCATCATGTGATGAGCGCAAGCGCAGCCACCATGTTGAAATAGCGGTAATTCAAAAGTTTCGTACTGTTTTGATCGACAATGGCTGAGAAAGCAATGTTATTTCTACAGAAAAATTAATCATTAGAAAAAATCGTTGATAGTGAATAACTTTTTTATAAATCTGTGGAAGCGCATAGTTGTGAGCAGTTGAAAAGGAGGTTGAAGTGTCTTGGATGTTTGTTACAATGGAACAAAGTGGACTAATTGAGAGGTTAGGTGTATCAATACTTTTTAACTCTGTAAAAAATTATTGAAAACAAATAATAATTATAACTTTATTCTAATTAATTATGCCAACCAACTATTACTACTTGCAAAAACACTTTAATTAGCATGAAAGTTAATCACGAGTATAATTAATAAAATAAATTATTTATTATTTTGAGGATCAACATGACATTTTTAATCATTTAATGTGTATACCGAAGTAGTATTTAATATTAAAAAAATATTGTTTAATACCACATGAGAATTTTCTTCTGTTGGACCACTTTCTCCATGAAAATGCAGTGAAATATAAGTATCTTTAGTAACATCATTAATCCATCGAAAACCGTTGTCACTTCGACCATATTTTTTCACACTTAATGCACATTTCGAATATCTTTTAATATGGATTTTGCCTGATAATTGTTTACGATATTGCAGTTAAGGCTTTGGAAAATTTATAGAATAATATCTATTGCCTTTGAATGATTTATACCGTGTGTCACTTTTACATAACAACACTGTTTCGTTGTTCCTTTCCGTACAGATAACATAATTATAATTGATTGTGAAAATGTATTTTTCAATTAAGACACTAAACTTATTATTACTTTACTTTTTTCTTCATTTTTTTTAAATGAATATAGACTTAAATTAATACTTATCAATTATAATTTTTTTCACGTAAGCATTTTAACATACTTGTTTACAAAAACAGTACGAAAAAGATGGCTGAAACTGAGGCATGCGCACAAAAAAAATTGTGATGAAAAGGTCTATTGAAAAAATCCACGATATGGTTTTAGCCAATCGGCGATTAAAAGTGAGAGAGATTGTGGAAGCCATAGGCATCTCACATGGCTCAGTGGTTTCAATTTTGAATGATCATTTGGGTATGCGAAAGCTTTCCGCAAGATGGGTGCCGCGATTGCTCACAAACGCAACTATGTGACAATTTCGCAGGAATGTTTGGCGTTGTTCAATCGCAATATGAACGAGTTTTTGCGCCGTTTCGTAACCGTGGACGAAACGTGGATCCACAACACACCGGAGACCAAACAGCAGTCAAAATAGTGGGTTTCTCGGCGCCAAAGAAGGCAAAGGTGGGTTTGTCAGCCAATAAAGTCATAGCGACTGTTTTTTTGGGATGCACGCGGTATTATCCACATTGACTACCTTCAAAAAGGAAAAACAATCAATGGTGAATATTACAGCAACTTATTGGGTCGATTCGATGAGGCATTGAAAAAAAAAAGCGACCGCATTTGGCCAAGAAAAAAGTCCTTTTCCACCAGGATAGTGCACGGGTGCACACATGTGCAGTTTTCATGGCAAAAATCCATAAATTGGGCTACGAATTGCTCCCTCATCCGGCCTATTCACCCGACCTAGCTCCGTGTGACTATTTTTTGTTTTCGAACTTGGAGAAATGGCTCGGCGGAAAGAGATTTGTCTCCAATGATGAAGTCATCTCACAAACAAATACCTATTTTGAAGACCTCGACAAATCATATTTTTCGGAAGGGATAAAAAACTGGAGAAACGTTGGGCTAAGTGTATAGAGCTCAAAGGAGACTACGTTGAAAAATAAAATAACTTTTTATCTAAAAACCTGTGTTTCATTCAAAAAGTCACGGACTTATTGACCCGCCCTCGTACATCACTTTATGCCAGAATCAACTTATATCTTTTTTAGATGTAAGCAAACACAAAATCCCTAACATAATTATTTTATTTCAAAAATTACAAGGGAATTGGTTTCGGTACAATGGGCATCATCATGGTGGCCTAAAAGATAAATACATGTTACACTTATCTATAAATACCATATAAGTATATTTTTTTAACTTACATTGATAAGAACAACTATTTGTACTACTGTTGTTATCAACTTTCATTAAAATCTCCAGGATTGGATACAGTGATTTAAATAATGCAATGATTATTTTGATCTTTGCATTAGGAAGGATATCTAAAAATAGTTCAGTGTGATACCTGCAGATATTATAACATGGATGATTTTTCTGGTCTCTGTGCTAGCTAAATTCCAGCTCAGTTCAATAATAAACTTAAAGTTAAACATTAACATAGAATCTTGTTTACTTAGGGCCGATTCCACCGTTGTGTTAAACGGAGATTAAAATGACATTGTTAATGTAAAAATGTCATTTTAAACTTCGTTTAACACAACGGTGGAATCGGTCCTTAGTTCTTTTTATCGACATTATCTCTAATGTCTGAAGCATCTTATGGTGTTTCATAAGAAATAAACCACCTGTGTTATTGAGTTTCAATTTTTGCCCTTTACTCTATTTCTTGTCGTTTCACTTTTAACCTATTTTTGTTTATTTTTTTACCATTACTAATTTTTTTTAAATAGTGAACAATACAATAGAATCCGTGATCTTTTTTATCAGACCTATTAAAATTGTTAAACTAACAAAAAATATTTTTCTACGGCTATAATACAAGACCACTCTCAATTTTTTTTTATTAAAAAGAGGATATTTTATGATTTAATTTAATTCTCTTATCTGATAAAAGGCCGTTCAAGTATTAGGTAAGCATGCTTAGGCGGCGGGTGTTCAAGTTTTTCTTATTTTTGCTGACAAAGGGAGTGGGGCGATATTATAAATCTTGGGATAATTTAAAAAAAATAAACAAAATAATGAAAATGTTTCCAAATATTTTAAATATAAATTAATAATACAGGGTGGCGCGCAACAGTGATATGGATTTGAAAAGGCCATTTCTCCTTTCCTAACGTTTTAAAGTCGATTGTTTCGAAAGAGGGGGGAGGGAAGTTCATGTGATCCATTGAACATGTTTTTTGTGTGCAGTTCTATTTGTCAAACGCCTGTTTGTTCGTCCGCATGCAGTGTGCCTTCTGTTTAAGGTTCAATGTAGCCCCCGTGGCCGAATTCCTGTTCTAAATATAATTCTTGCGTGGGTTAATTCATTCCAGGATACCGGAAATGTGTCCACGGTAAGAAAGGAGATTGCTGTAACTCTCAAATATCAAGAAGGTTTGAGCTGCACTTCTTCAACCTCCCAGACGTTCACTTTAGAAACACGCAAGTACCCTCGGCAACTCTTACAAGATGGTTGTCCATTGAAGCCAGACCACTCACTACTTTAAACATGGTTGCTGCGTTGCCTTGAGAGACAGTACAGTTTTCTTCTCTGACGAGGCACATTTTCACCTCAGTGGATGTGTCAATAAACAGAATATGCGGTATGGAGTGATACGAATCCTAGCGCCTTGCAATGCGATAGGGTGACAATATGGTGTGCAATTTCAAGAATTGGGATCATCGACCCTTACTTTTTTGAAGAAGATGATTGAACGGTTATTGCTTTACAGAGTCCACAAAAACTACAAAAAAAAGATTCAGTGTTTGCAGTGTGGGGGTGCCATTTAGCCGATACTTTGTTCAAAACAGTGTAAACTTAAATTTACCATGATAATAAAACAGGAAAAAAATAATAAATTGGTAGTTTTGTAACAGTCTGTATTTTATTTCATATTCAAATCCATTCGTCTTCCGCACGTCATCCTGTTTTATTTTGACTTTAAGAATCTAACCGAATCAACGAATTTAAACCTGACTGATTTGCTACAATAAGCTTCCAATTGTTAGGTTAGGTTGAAAATGAGTGGGATGATCTCATCGCCTTCCACTGCGACCCCGATGGATCTATTGTGGCTCATGACTAACTTATAGTTCACCGTACAAGCCACACCTTTTGGTAAAGGTCAGTCCTCCACGCTGCAGAATCGACAGTCCGATGTTTGTTGCAGATCTATCCTTTTCATGTGGTTGCCCAGACGGCAGTGTCCTGTCATCAGTCCAGTGAAAATATGTAGATCTTTCCTACTCCATTCTCGGATCTGAGCAGAGGCGTTCATAGAAGAGTTGGTTATAAATGCCTTCGAATGGGTTAGCCCTGGGGTATCTCTCTAGTTCGTGAGTTTTGCACCCTCCATCCATTTTGAGATAATTCCTTTGGCAGCGCTTTTTGCGATGCCCAGGATTGGTTCTGGTCCTATGAACACAGATTCGGTTCCTCTTTT